CTTTATAACATCTAGTTGTCCTTTCGGGGCTTTGCATCTGTGCTTTTATGTTGGCTCCTTGGTTTAGGAGTATGATTCTTGTTTAGGGTGTGAGAGATCCTCGACTCAAATCCCAGATGAGCCCTACTCTATAGACCCGAGGTTTTTATCAATAGGTAAGTAGATGCACAAAATATGTTAGAGTACTGCATCTGTGCCTTCGGGTGGTGAATGTAGCATACAGACTTAAGAAGAATGTGTTCTGCATTTGGGCATTTTGTTCTATAACTTGAATTAGTCCAGGGTAACTGATGGACTTGCTCAAACCTTCTGTATTAGGGTCTGTCTACCCTTGTCTGACACCCCAACAGAAAGGAGGAACAAATGAGTCCTGGGATGAGTAAAAACTGAATATTTATATTTAATCCTATCAATAATCACATTACATATAAATGAGCTAAATTTGTGTAATTCTTCCTTAATTCTGCCAGTTTTTGCTTTGTGTATTTTGAAGCTTTCATATTAAGTTGTAAAAAATATCTCTACTCATTATGACTTCTTGGCAAATTAACTCTTACCACTGTCAACTATACCTGGCAGGTATAATGGCTTATATCTGTAGTCCCAGCTACTCTGGAGGCAAAGCCAAGAGGACCAGCTTGAGGCCAACCTGCCCCCTCTTACCCCTTACCCCCACCCCTGCCTCTGCATGCCTGTCTTTCTGTTCCCCCCACCCTCCTTCCCCACTGAGCTACATTTCGAGACCCACACTGTTCTTTCTGCAGTTGAGGGTGGTGGGTTGAGTATGGCTGGGTATGCCCACAGGGAGCTTAGGAATCTTACCTGTGGTAGGAGTTCCCTTTCCTCCAGCCTTGCCTACTTTTAATCTCTCTTCACTTTCTTTCCTCAAAGCTGTATATTTCATTCAGCATCCAGTTTGCTCAATATAATCATTCTGCCAATGACCAGAACTGGAATTCCCAGTTGTTATTTTAAGTAATATAATAGTCATTTTAATATTCAGTACTTAACTTGAAAACTTCTCAGTAACCTTAGCCCCCTTTTTCCTTTTGCATAAATTGACCATGTATTTATTTCTAATATATATATAATTGATACATATTTACAATATACATATTAGTTATCACACACATACACACACAATTAAGTAGGTTGGTTTAATTGCCTTAAACATTGTAAAATATTTTGCTGAGATTTGGGGGGCCTTTGTGTGTACTTGTCTACTGTGCAGACTACACCACTGTTAGAGTGTTCACAACCACGTGTGCCACAATCCTGTTTGTATGTACCAGTTGATCCCTCCTCGTATTGAAGAGTGCTGGGTTGTTTCCATAGTTTTGTTCTGTAAAGACTCCCTCTGTGAACATTTCTACATTGCTCTTGGTTACGTGTTTTGAAGGAAATACTACTGTATTGAAAACTAATGTAACCATTTTGAAGTGCCAGTGCCAAACTATTTCTCAGTTTGGTAAATCCATGTGAAGTCCCAGCACCATTCTGCAAGAGAGTCAGAGCCTTCACAGCTCCTCGTAGTCTTAAAAACGTTTGTTTGCTAATTAACTGGATCTAAAATAATATCACACTGGTTTAAATTTTTCGATTCTTAATGATGTTAAGCACCTCTTCATATTCTATGAGTGAAAAGACATCCTTGACGTGTCTTCACCCCTTCTGCTCTTTCATTGACTTGTAGGAATTTTGTGCTTGGGAGGTGTCCTGTGAGCTCTAGACACCTGCTTTACCCACTTCTAGCTCATGACAGGCATCTTTGGCTTTGAATCTGTCACCGTGCCCTCTCCCCTCCAAACTCTGTGCTCCCTTACCCTGGTCCACCTTCTCCAACTCAGTGTCTATATTCTTCACCATGTTATAGACACATTTATTACTTAGGCCCTACTTTCTTCCCTCAGGTTATGTGGAGGTGCCGTGTGATACAGAGATGGAGAGTAAGCACGGATCAGCTTGTGTAGATATTTAATACTGCTGCATCTTATTATCTCAAAGAAGGGATTGGTTCAGTGAACTGGAAACTTGTAAAAAGCTGACTCTTCACCATCTTGACAACTGTGGTCAAGGTGGTCTCAGCCCTCCAAGTCATAGCACTCGACAGGCTCCGACCAGGATGCAGGCCGTATGCACTTGCCTACCACACTTGGAGAGTGCTGGGCCGTTGCTGTTGCTTAGCTTTGTTCTTGCACAGCTGCCAGTCAAAGTCAGGGCCTCATGCTTGTTAGACAACACTCTACCACTGAGCTGCATTCCCAATCCAAAAAACTGCTATGATGTACACAAATATAACTACTCTCAAAGATGAATGTCTGTGTTTCTGATTCAGTGAAGCAGTGAGCATCTTTTTCTTGTTCTCTTCTTTATTTTTTGATTGATTTTAGTGAACATGTTTTTCTGATGTGGGTGTTATTTTGTTGTACTGATAGTCCCACATTTATAGTTGAGCCTCATGTGTGTTTTTGTTTTGTATGTGCACATTCATGAGTAGGAGTGTGTGTGTGTGTGTGTGTGTGTGTGTGTGTGTGTGTGTGTGTGTGTGTGTGTGTGTGTAGATGGGGTAGAATAAAGGGGTTCAGAGTTTGGAGGGGCTTTCAATTTAAAAGATGGCCGGTTGTATGTGTATGCATATGCTTTTATTTTTAAAATGAAAAAGGAATGGAGCCCACTTAATTATAAAACTCAGGGCTTGCATACACCCTTCTGCTTAGTCTTTTATGCTCTTAGTTTTAACATTTTGAGTTTTCTAGCTTGTGTCATTGTTAAACTTGTATACCACCTCTACGGACTGTGCCCACCCAAGGCTATGAGTAAATTATTAATTTATTTATTTTGAGACAGGGTTTCCAGGCTGACCTTGATCTCAGAGATTGCCTGCCTCTGCCTCTGGAGTGCTGGGATTAAAGGAATATACCACCACACCTGGCCATATGAGTAGATTCTTAAAACCCCTTGGTTTGTAATATAGCTTATTTATGCCTTGGTATGTACTTGGGTATTATTGTGCTAATTATTTTCACATAAAATGATAGTGAAGTTTTATATCTTCTGAAGTGAGTAAAATTCTAGGGTTCATAGATAAACTTATGAATCTGAATATGGTATATCAGAATTTTAAAGTATTTTGCCTATCAAATACTTGTTCTTAAGTTAGTAATAAAACAAAACAAAAAGTATTATTTCATAATTGTGTGGAATTTTGTTAGAAAAAGTAGATAGTGGAGAACTAATTCCCAAAGCTGATAGCAGACCTATAAATACATTTAGGAAGACAGAGTGGTGTGTGAGGTCTGGGTGCTTGGAGACAGAGGGCAAAGGTTTCTCTTGAGCAGCATGCCCTTTACTTCTTAGATGTTTACTATACTACAGTATCTTCAGCATGACACCAGCTTTATCTAGGCCTGCTGGGAGAATCTGTGTGGGTGCTGGCACTAAATATGCATTAAAGAATGAAAATCACATGTATTGACTATTCTGTTGCTGACCAGTGCTTTGATAAGTGCAATTTCACTTGATCTTTTAGCCACTAAATCCATGCATGTGCCTTTAATCCCAGCACTCGGGAGGCAGAGGTAGGAGGATCTCTAGGAGTTAGAGGCCAGGCTAGTCTCCATAGCCAGTTCCAGGCCAGGTAGGGCTACACAATGAGACCCTGACTCAGTAAAGAAATGGACCAGTAAGACCGTGGTAGGTGGTGATGCCACTTCAGAGTAAATTCCTGCTGAGGTGGGACCAGATAAACAGAAATGCAGCGTGCAATGGATACCACACAGACTTTTGTTAAGAACTTCTGTATTTGTTTTCTTTTGTTTTCCAAAGAAATATCAAACGTTGTCAGTCTTAATTTATAAAATGGAGAGGCCAACTCATTTTACTGAGTGGTTGTCCTGATTAAAAATTACGGCTAATGGGGTTGTAGCTCAGTCAAAGAGTGTTTGCCTAGCACACACAGCCCTGGGTTTGAGCCCTAGTACTGTGAAACAGAAGCAAAATCCAAGGCTTATGGATGATTTATGTACACAGTTAGGGCTGCTACAACCACTCAGTGCATGGTACCTATTGGCATGTTATAAAGTGTGTGTGTGTGTGTGTTACATTCAACTAACTGCAGGTCAGAAGTGTTTGGAAAAGACACATTCCTACTGATTATGTGCAGACTTGTTTTCTTATTTGTCCCTCAAAGAATGCAATATATCATCTAGTTACAAGGCACTTTTATTGAGTTAAATACTGTTAAGTAATCTTGAGATACTTCAAAGTGCTCTGTGCAAATACTGTGTAGTTTTATATAAGGAACCTGAATACCCATGGGAGTACTAAAGCCAATATCCCGTGGATAGCAGGAGACAATTGTCTGTTTGTTAATGAACACTTTCCTTATATAAACTTTATGGTAAACTGATATATGAACCTAAAAAATGGAAAATGAAGGGAAAAGTGATTAGATGAGGCTGATATAGAAAAAAAGTTCATCTGCACCCTCCTGACCCCTGTGTCCTTCAGTCTGTGTGTACCCTCCTGGCCTCTTGGGAGGATTCCACAGTATCATTATGCCCTTCAGCATGTCTGCACCCTCCTGCCCCTTAGAAGGCCTCCATAATACTCCTGTGTACTTCACAGAGACCTAGAGCTCTGAAGAGTGGTAAGGATACTATCCCACCAGACTGTGTTTTTCGGTTTGCAGGACTGAACCCAAAGCCTCACAATGAGGCAAACACTTTGTCACCAAGGTTTGCCCCCACTTCTCTGCTGGACTTTGGACAACCTTGAGTGCAAGATCTAATTCTTCTCTTATTAACTGGTAGAGACATAGGTGCTGGTGTGCTGTTACCTCTCACCAGGTGATTAAAGGGTCCAGTTAATTCAGCTCCATGCTGCTTCTGACATTCTCTGGTTGCTAAGTGGAGTTATAATCTGAAGTAGAATTAATAAAGCCAGCATGCGTCACTTAAAGCGTGTAGTGATAACATCGTAGTCTTCTGTTTCTTCCCCAGATTAAAGCTGGAATTTGCCCCTGACAAATAGAAAGATGATGAGTGATGCCAGTGACATGTTGGCAGCGGCGCTGGAGCAGATGGACGGGATCATAGCAGGTAACCCACATCATGCAGCCTGACCTTCACTCACCGTCTCTTGTTCCCTCTCTGCTCCCATTATAATTGATCAGCTCTCTCCAGTGCTCTTAGGACACCCCGGTTTTTACCTTTGTTCTGGTTCTCCAGTTCTATCGGTTATTCTGACATTTTGCAGCAAAATGTCAAAAATTCCACTTCTACCCCCAGGCTTCTGATTAAGCTACAGGGTCCAAGTGCCAGGTTGTCAGATATGGGTGACCCATGGACCACACTGTAAGAGTGTGTTCTGTCCTGTTTTTGTGAATGATCTGTTCTTAAAAGTCAGCATTCAGGCCATAAGTGACTTGGCTCCTCACTAAGGCTCAGGTCCCTACCTCTGCCAACAAGATCTTTCCTGTGATATGCCCAGTAGGTACATCAGTGTCACATTGAGCTGAAGGACAAAAACATCAGTTGAGCACATTATCTTTCCTTTGGAAGCACTTCTAGTGGCCTTTATCTGGGTTTATTTCTTCTTCTTCTTCCATCCACAATTTCCTAAACCTAAAAGAAGTCACCCTTCCATGTTCAGTGACTTCAATCCTGCCAGCTCTCCCCCTCCAGGTTTTACGTTTTCCTTTCATCTTGTGGAGAGGCCTTCCTGACTTGCTGCTCATATCTTGCTTTGACCTAATAACCCTTCCACCCTGTCACTGAGGTGGAGCGTCCTACTCTAGTTCCCCATCCCTGGATCCCAGAACCTTCTCTCCAAACATAGATCTCAGCATGTGCTCCCCTTCCTTGGAACCTTCAGTAGCTCTTTGTGGTGGAAACAGAGCCTGGACCCTGACTTCTCACCACCAGAGCAGCTGATCTGGAAACAAACCTCTGTGCTGCACTGCGGTGGCCACACAAGTCCTCATGTCATATTACAGTGTTGTGTCTCAAGAGAAGACTTGTGTGTGCTGCAGGCCTGTGACAGTAATGATAGGGTGGACAGTCACAGCTGTTGTTGTGACAGGTGTATACAGGAGACGGATATATATACATATATCTCCATCCATCTTACTAGCTCCAGCTCTTCTCTTCTGACCATCAGTTTTACTGACTGTTTGGGGCCCTGAGACCTGGAGGTGGTTTTCTGTTCAGAGACTTTCTCTCCTGAGGGAGGCGGCCTACCTGCTCATTGTCCTTGTATGCCCTGGAGATGCAGCTTCGCTTTACCACCTCAGTTTGGAGTGTTCTACTCATTTCTTGGAATATCTTTTTCAAGGGGTGTTTGTAAGTGAACCTCTGTAGAGGGATGAACTTGATAGTGTGACGAGTCCAATAACCAAATCTAACGAAGAACCAGTTAACTTTAATCTAGAGAAGTATTGTCTTGTTCTTGGGATGATACTTGCTTTCAAACAGCTTGGCGTCTAAGACGAGGTCAGGCTCATTCTGCTATGGTTTCAGAAAGCAAAGCTAAGCTCTTACCAGGCACTAACCTCATACTTGTATATATTGGAGGAACAATACATCTGGAATAGCATTTGGGGCTGTACATGTTATACATTCTACTAGATTAGGGTGTTAGCTTCTTAATCCCCATAGGACTTCAGGACCCGAGTTGGAATCACTAAGAAAAAGGGCCAGCGAGATGGCTCAGTAGGTAAGGGTTGCTGCCACGAAGCCTGATGATGTGAGTTCAGTCCCTGGGACACACATGGTGGGAGGAGAGAGACTCTTCAGTTTGTCCTCTGATCTCCATACATGCTCTGTGACACATGTACATACTCAGTGACATGTGTACATATTCATGAGGAAACAACACACAAATATAATAACAATTAATTAAAATGTGAAAAAAATCAAGGACTAGAAAGGTGGTTCAGTAGTAAAGAGCACTTACTGTTTTTGTACAGGATCTGGGTTACATTCTCAGCACCCACATTGGTCAAATTACAGATGCCTATAATTCCAGTTCTAAAGTAATCAGGTGCCCTCCTCTTGCCTCCACAGGACCTACATGCACACGGCACTCATAAATTCACATAGGAGGAACATGTGTGGTCACACATACACAGAGACAAATAAATGTTTATAAAACTTTTGTAGAAAATACAGATGGCTCAGAGGTTAAGAGCACTGCTTGCTCTTCCAAAGGTCCTGAGTTCAATTCCCAGCAACCACATGGTGGCTCACAATCATCTGTAATGAGATCTGGTGCCCTCTTCTGGCCTGCAGGGATATGTGCATCAGAACACTGTATACATAATAAATAAATAAATCTTTTTTTTTTTTTTTTTTAAAAAAAAAACTTTTGTAGAAAATAATAAAAGAAAAAGGCTATCCAGGATCCATACCAAACTAAGTCAGATGTTTTGTGGGTAGGTAGGACCTGGGCTTATTCTAGTTAGCAACAATGATTCTCCAACTGAATTAGAAGGGAGAGGAGGAGAAATGACTATAGATGCTTAAGATTTTGTTTTGTTTTTTTGTCTATGCTCACTCTGTTCTGTAACAAGATATAGTGGAGTAGAAGGTTATCATGGGACTAATATCAGATGATCTTAATGCTTGTAAGTGCTGGAACAGAGAGCTTCAGTCTTCAGGATTTTTGTGTGTGTGTGTGTGTGTGTGTGTGAGAGAGAGAGAGAGAGAGAGAGAGAGAGAGAGAGAGAGAGAGAGAGAGAGAGAGATGCATGTTTTCATGACTGGGGAGTGTGTGGAGGACTGAGGTTGATGTGGGGTGTCTTCCTTGACCTTCCACATGATTCTTTGAACTAAAGACTCTTGCTGAATCCCAAGCACCAATTCTGGCTACTCTTTTGTCCCAGGAATCTTGTCTCTGCCTCCCAAATACTGGAATTACAGACCATTGTACTTTTTTTCTGAGACAGGGTCTTACTATGTAGTCTGGCTGACCTGGAACTTGCTATGTAAACCAAGGTGACCTCAAAATCACAGTGCCTCTGCCTCCCAAGTCCTGCAATTAAAGGAGTGTACCACCACATTTGGTTTAGAACACCAATTTTTAAAACTAATGTTAACTAGGAATTTGGTGCTAAGGCTATAAACAGAATGGCAAAGGAAATGCTTATACACATATGCTCACATAGGTGTGCATGTAAGTCACTGAACATTATCACTTAAGTACATAACTCATTTTCAGGGAATTCATGATCTCTAAAATTCACGTTTTCTGGGAGGCATGGCTCCACCTGAACCAGTCATCCACTTTGTGCCGATCTCTTCCTGACCTACCATACCCCTTTTGCTTCTGTCCCCCACAGCTGACCTTTTTGTTAGACATCCCACCATTCATATTTACCATTAATGACATTTAAAATTATATAAGATTTGGAGAGATTTACATGATTGAATTATCTTGTCTTTTCCCTGTTCTTTGTGATCATTGCTGGTGACTAGATTGGTTATCTTTTTCAGGTGTGGTATTTTACATAACATAAATCCTGTTGCTCACTCTGATTTTTTTGAAACCAGGTTCTAAAGCCTTGGAATATTCCAATGGGATTTTTGATTGCCAGTCTCCCACCTCCCCGTTCATGGGAAGCTTGCGAGCTCTGCACCTTGTGGAAGACCTTCGTGGACTGTTGGAGATGATGGAAACGGATGAGAAAGAAGGACTGAGATGCCAGATCCCAGACTCAACAGCAGAGACGCTTATTGAGTGGCTGCAAAGTCAGATGGTAGGCTTCTGCATGTTCCTTCTCTGTGCTTTCAATCTCTGTTGTTTGTTCCAGAACTGCATGCACAGATTAGGAGGTCAAACAAGAGAAAAAACCTGCAAGGCAGAGCATGAGATCCAAGTTCCTCTCATCTCTAAAGATAACTTAAAAATTTCCCTACTTCATTTTATGGGCAGGAATATTTTGTCTTCATATATGTCTGTGTACCAAGTACATGCAGTTGCCTGTAAACCCAGAAGAAGGTGTCAGATCGTGTGTGTGTGTGTGTGTGTGTGTGTGTGTGTGTGTGTGTGTGTGTGTGTGTGTTGTGAGCCACCATGTGAGTGCTGAAAACTAGACCATCCTCTGAAAAGGACAGATAGTGTAACTTTGAACCTCCCCATCTCTCCAGCTCCTAAGGATGATTTTTGAAAAGACAACGGTATTGTGTAGGTGTGTAGCTAGAGTTTTCCTGCCTGGCCCACAGTCAGGACAAATCTCTCTCACCTGCCAGTCCCACAGACAATCAAACCTGACCAAGTAAACACAGAGACTTATATTGCTTACAAACTGTATGGCCGTGGCAGGCTTCTTGCTAACTGTTCTTACAGCTTAAATTAATCCATTTCCATTAATCTATACCTTGCCACGTGGCTCGTGGCTTACCGGCATCTTCACATGCTGTTTCTCATCATGGCGGCTGGCAGTGTCTCTCTGACTCAGCCTTCCACTTCCCAGCTTTATTCTCCTCCTTGTCCCGCCTACACTTCCTGCCTAGCCAATGGCCAATCAGTGTTTTATTTATTGACCAATCAGCAACACATTTGCCATACAGAACATCCCACAGCATAGGTGCCAATAAGTTGTCCAATTCTACCTCTGAAAATGGACTGGCTTTTAGGTTATGTAAATGACCTGGTATGTCTTAAAGCAGACGCTGCTGTGAGGAAAGAACCTTGCACGTAACAGGTGCTCTCTCAGTAGCAGTAGGGTAGGGCCACCTATGAAGAACTCAATGGTTATTCTAGACAGGAAGTACAGTGAGTAAGCTCTTGAGAAAGCAGTAACGTTTGTAGCTGGGTTTGAGGAAAAGTGCCACCTAGTGGTGCATGACAGTCATGTCGCTCCCACTCTGTTAGGGCTTACACTGGCTTGAAATGGCATTTCATTCCTCTGTGATAGTGGACACAGCAGTAAAAATCATGTCTGATACGTGTTGAACAGCACGAAACAGATGCCAATGAGAAGACAAGGAGGCGACACAAGGATTAAGATGCACGCATGTGCTTATGACTTGGTTGGTTTATATAAAAACTAATGAGGACTGCGTGAAAGGACCAAGGTCTGTGTGGCAAACGGGAGGGATGAGAGCTGCCTGCTTGGAGAGTCTGAGTGCACCTGTTGCCGAAACATTCCATGCAGTGTTGCACAAATTCTGGAGCCCTAGCCGGTCCAAACCTGGCCTGGTGTTCTTGGTTCTACCCAATTTGTACCAGCACAAACCATCTTTCAGTGGTGGTGCCGCTCCACAGGGTTGGAGGAGTTAGAGACAGTTCACTTTTAGAAACAGGTGATGCCTGCGTGTGACGCTTGCCCTGGGAGAGACCTCCAGGGATTTAAGAGTTCAAGTTTGCTGGTTTCTTTGGCAGTAGCTTAGTGCTCTGAAACTCACTGTTCCCTGGCACATTACTCACCCTGTTCCTACTTCCTATGTCTTTATGTTCAGCACACAGTGAGAAAGGAATTTGTTACTGGCAAGAGGATTTTCTCCTCACTCACACCCAGGCTGAGAGTGGTAGCCATGGCTCAAGAGGACCTGTAGGTGATTGACTTGTGCTCAAAGCACTTCCATTAACATGTGCCTATTGGTTTGTTGAGTGTTTCTGAGGGTGAGGGGGCAGAGGAGTGTCCGCAATGGTATCGTTAAGACCTGCCTGGAGTGCAGTGAAGGTTCTTCTCTCACCTGCCACTCTGCACTGGCCACCCCCACTTGAGAACTCAGCTGACTTGGTTAGTGTGATTGTGGACACTGATTGTGGAGCTTTCCCAGAAGCCCCAGGACAGTTGCTTTAATGTCAGCTGGGGTGTGTCAGTGTGCTGCTGTGTAACACAGATGACTAAGATCACTTAGAGGACCTTGTTTGCCAAGGCCTGGGAAAACATCGCGGAGGCGCACATGAAAGGAAGGGCCTTGCAGAGTGCTGCAGAGCAGCACTGCAGGAGGCTGGAGAGAAGGCCCTGGGTTGAGCAGCTGGACGTCTGCAACAGAGTAAGACTAGCCAGAGGCCCGGAGAGTGCAGAGAGTGCGTATCTCACAGATGAACTCTAAATTATACACATTTGCATTTTCACCCTTTAAAAAATGTGACTTGGGATTGAAATATTTTTATTTTTGAAATGTAGAAATAAGACAGCCTTATATGATGATTATTTAACAGGTCAGAAGCTGGCCAGTAATGCCTCATTTCTGTGCTCTACCTCACAGGTTAGCATCCTTGATTTGCAGACATTAAATTAGTATTTCACTCATTTCATTAAAAATGGAATTTTTGTAACTTCTCCTGACTGTGAGACTGCCTCGTAACTTAAACTGCAAAAATAATGAGACTCACCTGCCATTCTACCTTGTTTTACGGTTGACCTCCTTGCTGTTGCAGCTCTGGGTCCTGCTCATCACAGTCTTGGATTAGAAAAAGCATTGTGACACTATTCAAGTTACACCTAAGATAAACAGAAACTGTGTGTTTGACTCAGATATGTTCTTTTATTTGCTGCCTTAAATCTAGGGCTTGGCTGGGCAGTGGTGGCACATACCCTTAATCTCAGCACTAGGGAGACAGAGGCAGGTGAATCTCTGAGTTTGAGGCCAACTTGGTCTACAGATCAAGTTCTAGGACAGCCTGGACTACCTAGAGAAACCTTGTCTTGGAGGGAAAAAAAATCTAGGGCTTGATAGACACATTAGTCATGTCTGCGTAACACTGTAATGTTTCATGTTACAATGGAATTCTGTTCTGCCTCAGTAACTGAGCAAGTTTCCTATTGGATAGACTTTTTTTTCCATCCACAGGAGCTGAATCATAAATGTCATCATTCTTTAGAAGCATAGAGTTATAGAAATACCATTAAGACAGATTTATGCTTACACACCCTGTCCCTTCCCGTGATAAGCTATTAGCGCATGCCTTATTTTGTCCAGCTACCTTTGTTTGTGTGTTCGAGACGTGGGATCCTAGACAGGCCTAGAGTTCTCATTCCACCTCCTGAGAACTGGCACTACAGGCAGGTGTCCAGCTGCCAATTACATGAAATAATTAAGGAGGTGGCAGCAATTAGTAAAGAAGTAACCTGCATTTGGGGAGCCAGGGGTGCTCCAGACCTGGCAAGAGTGATAATTACAAATGCAGATGCCCAGTGCACTAATGAGAAGATGAGAATCTCTTAGAGGACGTGGACTCCCAAGCTGGCCACCATTAGACAGGAATGAAGACTTTAACTGCTTAATTGGAAGCGTTAACAAGTGACTGTAAAGTATCCTGGGAGCATCTTTGCAGTCTCAGAAGCATCTGCTCGCCACCAGAAGTGAAATGCTGTGATGATCTGTAATGATGTAATGATGATCCCTTATGGTGGGGCCAGTATCCTTTCCCTCTGTGGAAAGGTGTCCTGTTAGGTTCTCCATCTGTAAGATCTACTGCTGCCCACTGTCAGGCTCAGGGAGGGCTGCCCAGCACGTGTTCCCTTTACTGACGGAGCTTAAGAGAGCCATCTGTGAGGTAAGCCCACCTTAGAATTCCAGTTTGCCGTCTTGCCGTCCACTGCCTTCCCCCAGTTACCAACCTCCTTTACTTGTCACTGGGGCCGTTTCTCATGTGCAGTGGGGAATGTGCTAGGATTCTGTGTGTCTCAGGCACTTTTCTTGCTGTAATAAAGTGCCTGACGACAGCATCTTAAAGATGGAAGGGTTTATTTTGGCTCAGGATTTAAGAAGGAATTCAGTGCACCACGGTGTGAAACATGTGGCAATCGGAGTGTGAGGCGGCTGGTCACATTGTCAGCAGATAGGAAGCAGAGGGCTGACAGGAAGTGGGGCTGGGCTACAAAACTCAAGGCCCTCCTCCAGTGTTCCACTTCTCCCAGTGAGGTTCCATGCCTAAAAATTTCCTCAACCTTTTCAATAGCAACTCCAGCTGGGAGCCAAGTGTTTAAACCCATGAGCCTAGAGGAGGGGACACTTTAAACTGACACCTTGTGTTCCTTCAACTCTGATGGCATTGACTTTTATCTCAAGGGTTGTTTTATTTTTAGTTCTAGAATTACCATTTTAACTGTTGAAGTGTACAGTGCAGAAGTGCTAAGCACAACCTCACTGGTGCAGACCTCACCATCCTCTACCAGAACAAGCCTTTTCACCTTGAAAACTCAAGTCTGCTGTGAGATGCCATCCCTGCTTTTGACACTGTTGTCTTTCTGTATCTGTGGGTTAACAGTTCTAGATACCCTCGTAATAAAGAGTAAAAGGGAAGAATGGATCCCAGCTGAACTATGTATGTATGTACACCCCCATTTTAATATATTGACATACATCCTGATTCTGAAATACTTAATGGAGAAGTCATGAAATTGTAAGTGTCAGACCCTCTTCCTGTTGGAGTCTCAGCACCGGCCCAGGTGCACTGTGATAGGCCGGTGGTGCTCCTTCATACTCCTGACTCTTCTTCCCACACCCACCTCTGCTCTCCTCTTCAGACCTTGTCCTGTACCATCTTTCTCTCCTCCTGCTCCTGCTCCCCACTCCTTCCCCTCCTTATTCTTTCTTCTTCCTCTTTCCTTCTCTGTGTGCCTGAGAGAAAACATTTACTTTGGTTTGGAAAGTTTGGGATGGGGAAAAGGAATAGACACAGTGAGTTAGGCCTGAATAAGTTGAAAATGAAAACTCTAACCTCTCCAGATCCATGGGTATTTTGTTACTGTTGGAATGTTATTGTTGTAATGGAATCTTTGTTGGTTCTGAAAAGTAT